GTGACTTGAGATTGTAGAATACAGTTTACAGCCAAGTAGTACGTCGTGAAGAGGGTGATTGCCAGCCTAATTAGCTCCTTATTCTCGCTGTAATGTCTCATCAAGTGAAATATTTTGGTGGAGTTATAATGAATTTTGACACTGACCTTGCCCAAACTAGAGTTTCCTTCACAATTTTGATCTTGCTCATCTCCTCTAACATGGAATCAATGTAGTGGGCAAGTTCATACCAGATGCTTCATTTTGAGCATCGACTTCGACCCGTAGAAACACATGCCTTAGCATTATCTATGATAGTCTAGATTACATGCTTCTCTCCTTCCTTCTCGACTATTTGGTCCATTAGTTCTGCCACGAGCTTTGCTTCCTTCTTCACCCCCGTGACCTCTCTACAGGATATGAAGATTGTTCCACGTCGGTAATACACCCGAAAATTAAGATAATCTTTTTTATTGACTTTGTCTCTCAAACCGCTCACTCATGATGGCGAGTCCCATTCTCGGACAACACTCCTTAAAGTCCCCAATGAATTTCCAAACATTCCTCTGCCTCCTCATCCAGGATTGGCTCACTAAAGCTCGTATGTTGTAGAAGGCTTCGCCCCAAAACCCCCTTTTCTAAAACTTCAGCCATCATTAGCCCGTAATACAGGTTGTTGGCTGCGTTGAGGGGGATACTTCCATCATAAAACCACTTCCCAATAACCTCTTCACTATGTCCCTTACACCTTACATCATGCTAGCTACAATGTCCATTCATTGCAAACGTAGGCTTGGAGAGGAATGGGTCGACGTGACCCTAATACATGGGATGTGCAGATCGACTATGTGCTCCTTGCGTGGTCTCCACCACACTTGCACTCCTGGACAAGCTAGGAGTAGTTTCCTTGATATCTTATGCATGGGACAAGATAGCCCTAGACAACCTTTCTGCCACACTAGAACTGCCACCAGGTGCAGCTACGCCTCCATGCACACCCTTGCTAGTTCATCCATACATACCCTTGCTGGGCCCTGCATACATACTTGTGTTGGCCCCTAAATACATTGCCCATGCGGTGCCCACCACACATACCCATGCCACTCTCTCGACGGGGCACTTCCTGTAAGCCTGCTCCCATTGCAAATTCTATGTCGAGGTTGAACGTACGAGCAATTCAACCTCGACATGGGGCTTGCAATGAGCAATTTAACCTCGACATAGATCTTGAATATTAATAAATGAGCAACTCAAGCTCAAGATGCTTCAATGGAGAAAAGTCTCTCAACATGGACAAAAACCATGAAAGTCATATGCCAGAGTTTTTAAACAAGACAAAACCCCTTTTGCTTTCAAACTAATCAATATACATATTTTTAAGTTGATTCTTTAGCTAGGTACTCTTTAAGGTATCTCATATAAACTATAACGCCAAGCTCGTCTAACATGTGCTAAATAAGCCTCACAAATAACCTCCACATAAAGGAAACCTTCAACTAGATCCCTAGGACAAGTAAATTGTGAACCACTTCCTCTCCTGCACTAGCTCTCCTCCCTTCCCTCCCCCTATCCTGAAGATAACCTCTTTGCTTAACTCATTGGGGTTTAAAATGTTTGTCACAATCCTAACTAAGCTTTCATCAAAAAAGTTTACCCTTATGAACTTAATCTTCGTGATTTTAACAGATGGGTTGAGAGCTGATGGTCCACAACTTGGAATATAAATATGATAGTGGTTCTCAGAGTTTTTCTTTTCTTTTTTTCCCCTTCTTTTGATCAATGACTTTGATAAGATTGCTAGGAGGATGGCTATTGCGCTTCCCTGCATGTGGTTTTAAAGAGAAAGAAATGCATCTACTTTTAAGTATTTCCCACAATTGTGCCTATATGGCTACAGTTATATCAGATGCCTAACAGTAGTCGAGTAAGTTGCCTTCTCTCCTCAACTAAGCCTAATATGTAAGTTCTTCCATGAAACAGAAAGCATTTGAATGTTTACTCATCCTGAACCAGTGGAAATTCAGTTTGAGGAGAGTTTGTAAGATCAGAGATCAAGAAATGTTATTGCGGGTGACACATTTGCCCTAAAAAACTATGTTTTTGGGGCTCAATGAGAATAAGTGAAAGCATAGTTGTAGGAATTGGGAACGTGGCGACTGTGACAAGCTAAAAGATCCCGGTGGTTGGAAGCACCATACATACAATGCATATGTTATTGATAAAGATACCAACTTTTTGGGGTTCTCGATCCCAACTTTTTGGAGATCTCAATCCCAAACTTTCGATGATCTTGCTCCCAATCTTAAAAGAATTATATATGAACTATATCTAGTCCATACCTGAATATACTATTTAAAGTAGGGATCTCTTTATTTATGGCCAGCAAGCAATGGAAATATATTAAAAGTATAGCCTTTCTTTTTGAGAATTATATCAAAAGTATAGTTGCACTACTAACTCACTATAAATCAAGAAAATCATCAATTTGGTTGTTATTTTGGTCTTTAAGGTGGGGGCCAACATCCCTAACAATGGGGATCATGATCATTAACAGTGAGGATTGAGATCCCAAAATTTAAAAATTGAGATACTATAAATATCCTTTTCCCAAGGCGTTGGAGCGAGATTCCAGAGCATGATCCTCACCAAGGTTGAAAGATCCCAGTAACTATGGGAGAAACCAAAGCTCAACATTGAAACCAATTATGAATTGCTTGTGTTCTGTAAGCACAACCATAATAAGGACAACACCTACACTTACACTCCTTTTGGAACAAGTTAAACAAAGAACCCGAATTGAATAGGAAAACAAATGAAACACAAAAAATTGACTTCTACTTCATAGAGGAGAGTCATTGATATGGTGATCTGGTTACTTAAGAGGCTTTCTTCGCATGATCGCCTTATTCCAATTCAAGTGATTCTACCACTAAAGCATCATTAAAGCCAGGGTATGATGAACCATGTGAATGGAAATTGTGCCTCTTGTTTGTAATGTGCAGAATTTTGGACATAAGGGAAAAGAGTTTTCAGGGGAATGAAGTTAGAGGAGAGAAGAAATATTGATCGTAAAGCAACAGCGTGGCATGGTAGAAGATAAAAGACCCGTTCCAAGGCATAGTTTCATTAGGCACATTCTCTAGTTTCTTGCACAAACTGAAGTTACATGGATGCCGAGAAGCACACTGTTCATAAGATGGGGTAGGAGGAATCATCAAGATAAATGCAACTAATTAGATTATAATTAATTGGTAAGTAAGGTGGCCAGAATAGTATGAGAAAGCTTTGGCTGTGAGAGCAAGTTTAAGATTTTTATAATTCGCGTTTTCTAAGATCAATGGAGATAATATATAGGTGTTTGGACAAAAATAAAAAGATTTTGTCATAGAAACATTCTAGCAAACTTGCAAAATCATGAACAATACATGCTAGGAATCTGGCTAGGTTTGATTGGTTAGTTGTCGACGACTGCTACATGACATCTCAAATTTGATTCCTGCCTCTGAACTAGGCAAACAAAAAAAAGACTCTACAACATGGCTGCCATTAGAAATATCCATACAACCGTGCATAAAAATGCAAGAACCAAGTCGCATAAAAGGCAGCAAATATAGTATGCTAAAAACCAAGTAGCGTGTAAGCTGTTGAAGATGGGTGCGCTAATGGATAGAACACCAAGGAGTGGCAGGGTTCCCCCCCCCCCCCCCTCCCCCCAAATTGATTTCTAGCTCCTTATCTATTTCACTAGAATCCTATAACATTCAAGAAAAATCTCAACGGCACAGCGTCAGGCATGGGGAATGATCAAGTTTAGCATGCATAGTTTAGCTTACCTCTTTTTTTTTTGGAAGTTGATATTTGTTTAGCTTACTTGGTAATTAGCCTAAAACAAAAACTAAACAAAGCTGTTATATGAACATGCTTTTATCATTTCCTTTGTATTTGAAGATTTGGGAGCAAAGCCATCAAGAGGCCCCAACTAAGCTAAAGAAGTTAAGTACACCAAACCTCAACAATTGCCATAAACATCATTACATCCTCACCAAATGGGAATTTTGAAGAAATCCAATTTAACTATTTATGTTGCCATCGTTGCCTTTCTAAGGAGTTAAGACTCCCCAGGAAGCTGTATGATATTTTGACAACATATTATGCTACAAAAGAAAGATTCATAGGCTCAACAATCGCCATAGACACAAGAAGTAGATCTCCAGATCAATAAAGAGCAATTCTACGATTAGCATGGCTGACTGATTACTTCTGTTCTTCATTCTTAGCGTAATCACCGTTCCTTTGATAACACCTCATTATTATTCAAAATTAATAAATGATCTCATCCAACATCAAACAATGCCTATCATCCCAACTCTCCAAATTAAAACTAAATCTACAACCATGTACGGATTATACAGCAAAACATCTTAAAAAAAGATTTGTGAACAATAACAAATCCATAACCAAGAAATGAGTGATAATCAATACAACTATGGCATTCAAACCAAAAGGATAGATAAATTAAAATACATGATCCTATCTGATATTCTTTTCTTTCATATTTATCCTACCTCACATTCTGCACAAGAAAATTAATGTACTTCCTATTCACCCAAAACAAATTAATGTACTTCCATTGATATTAATTGCATTAGGAAAACAAAGAATACAGACAAAACTGTTCCAATCATTGAATACTTACACATAATTATTACCTTTCGGGCACATTTGTTTAGCAGGGAAAGAACTATCGTTCTTTTTCACTGGACTACTGCTTTCCCAATTTTTTAGGAAAGTAGTAGTTATTGTAGCAGCACGGAGAGCGTTTTCCTAGCGCTCTATGTATTTTTGTGTGAAAGCTGCACTCGACCTATTTAGGTGTGAAAATGCTTTCCCACACTTACCAGAAAGCTCTCAGAACAAACACGCCCAAGGCCCTAGGAAAGTGTTTTCAAAATGAAGCAAATTTGCCCTTGATTTATTATATTGTTCTGAAATAGAAACAACAATAAAATAAAGAATCGTACACTATAGCAGAGACTGCACGGCAGTAACGCTCCCACATACTTCGGAACCTCGGTTGACCTCCAAGGTCCCACAATTTAATAGTGACATTCCCCTTTGTGACCTTGCGCATATTGAAACCTACCTGTAAATAAGATTGAGGATGACACGTATGATTCCATTCCAACAATAGGTCATAAATTTTCACATATACTAATTGCCAATGTTACTATTAATAACCTACTAATAAGTTAAAAAATCGGCAGTCAATGACCTAATAAATATGCTCTTATATTTGCCAAGCAATTAGGAACCGGCAATTACCTAATATATGCATTCAGACAGAAAGATTACAAAGCCAACAATTTTGGGAGAGAACACTAGGCTACATACAAGTATAATATTCAGGTACTCATGCCCAACAACTAGTATCCACATTAATTCATGGGTGGTGACCTTGAGTAACGGTTCCCAGTAAAAGTGGACAAAAACCCATCACCCATTTCCCATGGTTGAACATGGACAACGAATGTTGGCCTGAGTATGTAGTCCTATCAATTTTTGCAGTTCAATCTTGCTAGTCATTAAGAAACCAGTATGTATCAGGCTAAAAGTAAAATTTTCCACAAGAATCATGAAGCAATTCATTATGATTCATCTCAGAAAACAGCTAGTTCTTGCCGGCCATTCAAAAAACAATTAACAAATAAAAATTAACCTTTTAGGTAGAAAGACTTATTTCAAAATTAAACGCAGCTAGAAATCAGAAAATCAGCTCCCTTACACAACAAAGATATCAAATCAAGCAAAACTCAGAAGCAATTCCACCACCCAATTCAAAAAATAAGACAAAAGACCTTTTTTTCCAGGTTGAAGCGGCATTGAGAAACATAAAATGACAACCAAAAACATGAGGTACTGGTGCTCAGGGCGTTGACATCAAGGGTACCATTCCTAACCCACTTACTGAAGTAAAAAGAAAAAAGAAAAGCAAAGGATAGAAGCGCTCACGGTGGGAATCATGTCTTCACTGTATCCACCAGTCTACAAAGGAAAGCTAACATTAGATCATTAGAATACTACACAATAAAAAAGAGAACAAAATCCAATTAATGCACGCAAAAAACTAAAGAAAAAAAGTAGACAGATAAAGCAATTTACCGCAATGACATTCACGAGAGACGTCTTTCCGGCATTTTGGAGACCGATCAAAGAAAGCTCCATCTCTTGCTTAAAGAACAGGCTACACATAAAACAGATCCCAATTTTCCAAAAATCATAAATAAGTGCACATACCTTCCCAGATAAACATATTTGTCAAAGGAAAAAATCAGTATTGAGAACTCAATTGCATAGAATATCCACAAAAAGGTATATTTGAAGAACAATCCACACATGTTGCAATTAGAGATACCCACAAAGCAATACCCCTAACAACCAATTGATGCAAGAACATTTCATACAAAATAAGCACAAAAAAGAGGCCAATTCGCGAAAAAAATCCATTGATGAAGATAAGTGATACCTTCGAAGCCAGTTGAGAAAGGCCTCCCACAAACCCATCGCAGAACAAGATTTCAATTAAAATTAGGGTTCTTGAGATCTGATAAACCCTTTTTCTTCTGCTTCTTCAATTTACCATAACAACTTGCACACTACTGAAAGTGTATATATATTCTTAGAAGTTTAGAGAGAGAGAGAGTAAAAATAGAAAATATGGGAACAGAATGATTGCAGAGGAGAGAGGGTGCTCTAACCTTTACCGAATTTTCTAATAAAGGATTCACACAATGCCCCCAATTTATCTAAGTGACAAAAATACCCCTTTATGATTTGTCAAACCCCCATCTCTCTCTCTAAAACTGGTCATATCTCTCTCTCTCTAATTTACGTCCTCACCGCTACGGGTCTCTCTCCCGCGCATAAAGTATGCAGAGTGGGATCACGCTCTAATATTATCTTTCTAGGATAGAGCTCTTCACAAGTGGTTTTGGACACTGAAGGCCCGGCATTTGGCCAGCCCGGCCAAGACATGCGCCTGGGCCAGATCAGTCTTAGCCCCAACTCAGCCTTGTTCCCTTATGGGGCCTTAGGCTTAGACTGGCCTAAACCAGGCCAAAGAGGTCCGGCCCTATTAGGACCGGGCTGGGTTAGGCTAGGCTAAATAAAATTAAAAAAAAATAAAACAAAACAAAAGATTAAGAAATGAAGGTCAAATCGTTCCCTAACGTTGTCATCATCTTGGCTTAGGCCTGATCCTCAGGCCATGGTGGTCTAGCCCACAAGCTAAATTTTGTGGCCCATACCCTAGTTTTTGGGGTGGACTGGACCACCTAAATTGCTTCTAGGTTGAGTTGATTCCAAACTGCTCGCCCTAGGTTGTTACTGGGCTGGGCTTTGGCCAGCCATTTATGGCGCCTAGCCATATCGAGCTGGCCTCATTATGATTGTGAGGCCTTTGTTTTCGGTGCTCAATTTTAGGTTTTTATTTTCTTGAGCCTATGTGAAATGTACTTTAGAATTTTTCTTTTTGAAACTGGAGCTAGTTTAAACTATTGAAGTAGTTACATACTCGTCTGAAACGGAAGAAATATGTTCTCATAAGAGTATAAAATCTTTTAACTTCTGTCAACAAAGATGTGCTATTCTAACTTGGACATGCTAGTTTCTTCTCCCCCTCTCTCTTTCTGGGATGGCATAAAAAAAAAAGTTGTCAAGGCTTGAATTTTTCATATAAAATGTGGAGGGGTATTATTTTAGGGGTGCGTTTGTTTGCTTGAAGATAATCGTTCCCTGAAAAAAAGCAAAGTTCTTATTTTTTGAGAAATGGAATGTTATTTTCTAGAAGGTTTAAAGAAGTTCTGAATATCGATATTTGATAACCTGCAAAAATATTAAAAAAGTTCTGGTTACCTGTATTTGAGTACCTGCTGAAATGTTGAGAAAGTTTAGAGTACTATGATTGATTCATCTTAGAACTTTTAAACCTGTCACCTGCCAATAACCCATTTTGAACTGTTCATTAATTTTTTATTGATATGGGCCCGATATGTCATGTATAAAGAAAATAATTATGACATTCCTAAGATGTCCAACGACAAAGATGTTTTTATAATATGGCCTTTATATGATACATGGCATTGAAAGGATAGATAGGTTTTTTTTTAGGATATAAGGTTTGATTGGAGTCCCATTAGGAGTGGGACTCGTGTAGGTTTCTTGCGCAACTGGTTTTTTTTTTTTTGCCCATTAGTTGCATGGAATGCGAGCTTAATATTAATATAAGAAGGTGATGCAATTTTTTTTTTTAAAGGTAGCTTTTTAGGGGTTGTTTCGATGTATTTGTTATTATTACAATTTAGTACTGCAATAAATTTAATCTTAATAATAAATTATCTGATATAAGAGATAAACTTATAGGTAGTTTTATATATAAATTTTTTTTTCTCTGAAAAGTTATTTTTACCTTATTCAAAATAATTTACTTAAAATTAGGAGTGGACTCAAGGTATTGATCAGGGTAGTGAGTGCCGCAACATAAGATCTTAAGTTTCATTCCTACCATAAGTAAATGACCTTTTTTAGGGGTGGGAATTGAGCCTGGTTAACCCATGGACCCGATGGGTCAATCTTACCGTTGGGTCAGGTATGTATCTATTTGACCTTGATTTGACTAAGTCAATGTCTAGCTTAGATCCTATCGGGTGCCAGTCAAGGCCAAACCGACTTGAATATATAAGTATAAACTATATATAAATAATACTAATTACATGGTATAAAATATAGAAAATACTATATATAAATAATACTAATTATATAGTATAAAATATAGAAAATATTTTCTATATATTTTTTCTTTATAGACTTGAATCGATTGGTCGGGTCGTAGTCCAGTTAACTTAGACCCGAACAGGGTCTAGGTCAGGTCCCAGTCTAACTTAGACCTAGTTGGGTCCAGACCGGACTCAGCCCATTCCCACTCCAACCCTGCCCCTCTGAACTACCAAAAACAACAATTTACTAAAAATCTCTTACTCTTAGTCGGAATGAATAAATCAATAAAAATATACATAATACACTTGAATAAGATATTTTAAAGTTTTAAGTTTATTAATGTAAGGGAGAGAAAAGGAGGAGAAAAAAAGGAAGGTTTACAAAAAGGAAAAGGGCCATGCAATCAATAGAAAGGGGCAACAAGGAGCGAAATATCGACCCATAACTTTGAGGAGTATGGAGTCTAGAGAC